AAAATGGTTCTTATTCAAAATGATCAAGTAAACTTTCTAAATGTTTTATGATTACTGCTTTAGCGCTGAATTGAAGAGATACTAAGACAGTGGATATCTTTTTCATTCAATGACTTTGTTATCCATGGTTTAAACTGCTCTTGAGTTTTCAGTCCAATCTTTTGATTTACATTTCCTGTTTTCGACTATTTTTATGTCTTACTCTACAGTGTAGATTCTTATTATGAATGCTTTTCAGTTAAACATAAATTTGGAGGCAGAAAGATCATAATTTCCAAACTGAATGAACATCTTGAGATAACTTGTAAATTCGTAAATTTTACATACTATCAACTTGAAATCAAAATATACTTCTATCACAGCTTTTAAGATTTTCGATGGTACTTGGTCTACTGATTTCCATTTTGTTGGAATGTTTGATATTAAAAATAACAATCTGTTTGAATTTTTTTTTAATTACGATAAATTGAGTCCATTTTTTCACCGAAACATATATTATGTTTAGGTTCATTTTTTTAATGTATTTTCTTAAAAAAATGCACTAGTTTACTATAGTAAGGTAACATATATCATGCAGTCACCATGATTTCAGTAATTTGGTCCTTTAATCATTTTAACATTTATGTTATACCCTTTTATTTTTGAGTCCCAAATACTTGACGCTAAAACCAAAACTGTTGTGACCATAAAAAGTAGCTCTAATTTTTAACCTACTTATAAAGGAGCTAGTAATATAAAACGATTCACAAAACTTTTCAACTTTAGTTTGAGTATTAGAAAAACTGCACTAATCTATTATTAGCAATCCAAATTTTTTTGATGGAATTATTTGAAAATATTATTATGGGTGTAATAGAATCGTGAAACGTTAAAGCGGTAAAAATAATTTTTTTTTGTAGTTAAGAACTTACATTTCAAGTAAATCTATTCATATTATATCGTCATAGTTTTACTCAGTTATAAATATGCTATACGTTTCCTATTTCTAGAAGATAGTTAGATCATTAACGTAGAGCGTCTTGGAATCACAGTGAAATATCCTCAGCAAGGATATTTAGACATTTAAACAAATAGTTACATTATGTAATGTATTTGGAAAGAATAGCTAGTTTCACTAAATCACTGAATCGAATGTCAAAAATGATAATAATATTGATATTAAGGCCAAAGTGATTGCCAACTCTCCAGATAACATCAATAAATTGGAATGAAAGTTATCAATCAAAACTATTAATGTAGTATAAGAACATTGGTAACATGTAATAGGTGAAATCCTTTCACAGTAATTGATATTGTGATACCAGGGTAGAGATATTTGCTCGAAAAAAAATATTAGACTAGTTTCAAGTATTTACTGTTAATAAATCGAGTATTATATCCTTTCCTAACTAATACATAAATTAGATAGCTTTTAAACAAAATGTCACTTTTTAACCAATTCACTGAGAATTTTTACGATTTCTTCAATTGTTCGACAATCGAGAGATCATTTATTATAACGCTTCAATGTTGACCGTTTAATAAATAGTTAAAAAGCTAAAATAACGATTGAAACCAGAATTTTTATATTATTTAAGAAACTTAAGAAACTTAACTACACACATTTCGTATCGAGATCTACTCAGTAATATAGTCAACAGATTCCACCCCTAAGGAATGAATTTCTACAATATTCGAAGGTTTTTTAATATCCTGATACAAGGAATTATATATCTTTTTAAATAATTTGAAATTATCTCTTTTCTGAATGATTCTGCACATAATTCTAAATGATCTTACAGATTTCATTGACCTCTTCACCACAACCATAGTTTACCCATCCCTAATAAGGATGCTTAAATTCAGAAAACTTTCCCCAAGAAACAGTTCACCCTTTGTAAATACATTTCTAATAAATATATTTAATCTACTGTATATGAAAAAAAAAATGCAAATAATAGTTTTCCAAGTAGATGTTCTTCAACCTAAAGCAAACATAATTTGCTTTATAATGATCAGTCTGTCAGAGTTAGAAATGGTACGCAAGTGCGATACTTTCCAAATAAATAGTATGCATGATTTTAATTCGATTGTATTTCAAATTAAATAACTAGATAGAAATAATTAAAATTACTACACACTTCTTTTTAATTATTCGGAAGGGGATATGGATGTGTGTCCGAAAAAATAAATTTTACGTAATCCACAGTCCAAAAATTTTATCATGTAGTAATGAAATATTTTTCCTTTAAGTGTGTGTTTAAGCAATATTGGCGACTTACAATCGGCGGAAAAGTTTCAATAACAAGTTGACACTACTTAAAGTAGTATAGTTATAAAACTAAAATTTGACAATAACCATTAGCTAGAACATATATTCTTACAGTAACTGTAAGTATTAAAAATACCCATCACTCTAATTACTAGTGCTATCCACTAGTACATATGAGTAATAGTAGTCATGTAAGTATTATATTTAAGAAGGTTTATTATGTTCCTACAAGTGCTAGGTACTGATTTGAATTTGATCAATACCAACGCCGATGAACAAATTAATTCAGCTGATTGGTTCAAAATAAGACTAAATTCGTATTACTAACAGCCACTATTCAATACATTGTAAAGTCCTAAGTGCATGAATTATCGATAACCCCACAAATCAACAGAATGATCACTCGAATCCTGATTACTAACAACAATAAAAATATATTTAGGATGATTATATAATGAACTTTTTTGAATTCAAACATGTATTCTGTCAACCTAGAATTTAGTGTGTAGTAATCGCTCAAGTATACTCAAAAGTGGTACATGTAATTTTTATAATTAAGCTAGAGAGACTCACCACAACTTCAATAAATACCTTGAAAAGTGACTTAATGCTGAACGATATGTAGATTTACTTTGTGACAACTCATTTAGGACATGAGTTTCATTCAAATCATTAAAAGTTTAACCGATATATATATACACAGTTCAGTTAGAGGGGTTTTGTGAACATTCGTCTTATTTTGCAGACGGATATATTACACACTCATCCCAGTTAAGATAACTTCATAAGTCAGGGCGCAGTGGATTTCCATCCTTATTATTGGGATCCCCATCCATACTCACCTATGAGCCTGTCATGGATCGAACTCAGGACCTTCAGATCTTTCAGCGATCCCTTTATCAAGTCATCATCGTTGGAAATCTGATATGTTTTGTTGGTTAATGAATCATCACCAATGTCACTGGGTGATCTTCATGCTAAACTATGCGTTGACTGAAGCAAGAAGCGTACACTAAAGAGTTCTGAGGCTTCTGAACGACATCTGTCCAGAGATTTCAACTTCATGAAACTGAAGTCTCAAAACGGGATGAAACGATTGTCTATTTCTCCAAAAATGTATCCTATTCAAGTGTACTCTTTCCTTCACCTCTGGCATACGGTATTAAAGAGACAGAATAAGTAGACTTTACTCTAACTAGCTTAAGTTTAGTGCATGATATCAGTTATTAATGATCATTTTATACTTCTAATTTAAAAAGTAATCGTCTAGAGAATCATCAAACTATGCAAAAAATGAACTAAAACTGGTAAACATTGACTGTCAAATAATTATTTTTTGACCATGAAACATGAATGTTCAATTTTAAGAAATTAAGTAATTTAATTCATGAGCCATTGACTAAAACATAGTTATCATTTCAATATGCTTTTACATTGATACAACAGTCAATACAGTAATCAAAACAATTAGAAAATTTTCATGAAATAATTATTGGTCTGGAGAAATTTTCCCTATGCATAAAAAATTATTTTACCGTCAAGGTTTTCTCACAAATGTTTTGTATTGCTGCAATAAAAATTTTTTTCATCCAAATTTCAATAACGAACAAAATATGAAGGGCATAAAAAATAAATCTGCAACAAAAGAACCAATCAAATTGCAGTAAGAGTCAGAGATGTTTTATATTGATTTTCCAAGATGAAACACTACCTCAAATCTTTAGGGACATGTGTCTAGTTAGATTAATGCTTCAGTAATTTAATATGTCAGTAAATAAGAATATTGATAGTATGCTACTTTGATGCTGTATATTGTTGTGTGTATATGCGCTCGACCTTTGAATACCAATGAACAGACGATAGACCAAGTGACTTACGGAACCAAAATACATCGAGACTGATAGGAAGAGGACAAATTTGTATCGAAGAGAAAATTGAGTGCGTATGTATGTACACACAGAGAGAGAGAGAGAGCGAGAGAGATTGTGAAGAGAAGGGAGAAAAGAAAGGAAAGATTCAGGGTAGGAAGATGTAAAGCGACGAGATAAGTAGGGTTAAACAGCATAGCATAGATGTTTATCTAACAGAAAATGGCTGACAAATTTCATTAAATAAAAATCAGTTGATTATATCAGAGACGATGTTCATTAGCCATTGTTCGATATATTAAACTATTCTCATTTGCACTGGTCATCGAATAATCCCAGTTTCTATATATAATAACACATAAAAATACTGTCAACAAATTGCCTGTAGTCATCGACACTGATAACCTAATTTGTTGATTTCACAAAGAAAAAAAATACCTAATAATTTACTTGTGAATATGTCAAAAGTCCCGCTAATTACCAACCAATCCATACTAATTCATATGTACACATATTCAGTTCAATTATCATAATTGCCATCCGTTTCTATTTTACTACTACACTGTAACATTTTCTATGTTTGTCAATTTTTTTTTGTTAATGATTTCGCTACGGAATTATTTAGTGTAAATTAAATTACATTTAATGAGCATAGTTGATTGATTCTGTTGGGTGTTATACTTTTTTTCTATACTACACACATTTCGTTATTGATTATGTCAGGTCAAACCTTGACAAAGTAGACAAGAGATTGAAATCAAAAAGGAAATAATAATAATACTCTATTAGTTAAACAGTCTATTGATACACACACAAACACACACGTTTTGTTATCATTCAAATCGATTTTCTCTTTGTTCATCATTAAAAACAGAATAATCATGATATCACAGTTACAACAACAATTACAACATCAACACAGACATCATACTTTTGATACTCCAGAGAATAAAGCAAATCTATCACAGTTTTGTTTAAATTTGCCTGAATTAAATTCTATACACACTTTAATTGAATACGATACAAAAATTGACTGCAATAATCAACAGTCCATAGAACAAGGAAAGTTGAATACTAGTAATGATAGTGCAGATACAATCAATAATCATGATAATAAATCGAAAACTCGTATCACAATTACTTCGACCAATATTTCTACAATTGAGGATAGCGTTCACACGAAACAAGTTCCTATCATTACCGATCATTGTTTATCCAGGAAGAATAAACTGGAGAATCAATTCAATGAATATAATAAATCAATATCTCTCAATTCAAGTCATCAGCATAGATTGCGTTATTCACCGAACACTACCACTACAGTCTCCACTACTACTGCTACTACTACTACATGTGATACAAATTGTATAGGGTCCAATTCAGAAATATGTAATACACCAAAATATCCCCGACTTCATCATTCTCTACCAAAGTCTAACAACTCAAACCATAGCAATCTAATTCACAATAATAATATTAGTAACTATAATGACGGAAATATTTTAGCAGAAACAGATAATCAATCTAAATTGTATGCATTTCAAAGAAATGTTAAACAACTTATTGATTATGAGTTAAATAATCATTTGAAGAATGAATACATTTCAGTGGATCATCATCCTCAACTACAACTACAACCGACATCACCATTATTGTCATCATTATGCACATCATCTTTAAACAATAACACCAACAATGAGCATATTCTGTCGTCTTTGATACATGAAAATAATAATAATAATCATATACAATCAGATAATGATAATAATAACAATCATAATGTAAATGAAGAAATATCCAATGAACAAGATGGTGGAGAATTGTACAGAAGGAGAAATACTAAAATTGATGACTCCGTGTTGGATTCATTAAATGTTAGATTAGGTAGAACAATGGAAAAAATGGATGTTTTAAATCATTTACAAAAATTTAGTAAGTTAATAATGAGTTCACTGTTCGAAACATTGTAGTGATGAGTAGTAGGTAGAATGGAGTCAAACATTCAATGTTCAATTGATAGATGTGACAATCTATTTAAATATTGATGTCTTCACTAATGAAGTCTTTTATGTTATTATAAAGAATATATATGAAGGTTATAGGAAAAATTATAGTTCATATTTTAAAAAAAAGGATTCTAGAATGGCAAAATTAGAATAAACCTAATGAAGAAATTCAAATTTTTTTCAAATGAAAATTTTGACAATTGAACAATCTATGCTTCACTTACAAATCTCTCAGTCTAACTTACGCGTTAAATTTGAATATTTTAAAAAGTTGAATTATTTCTTGATAAATTAAGTGAAACTATAATTTGATAATGAAAATTATTCAATTTTTACACTGACTAGTTTACAAGTTTGATTCTAGTTCTATCTAGTTTCAGAAATATTGTGTATAACTGGAAGTTCAGTTGATGAAAGTTTTCTCAAATATTAAGTTTTGAATCTTTCAATATTTTAAATCCTATAATAGAATGTAGCTCAACATTTCACTTAAGCATTTATTTTATGAACTTTTATGACCTACCAAGTTCATTAATTCTGCATATTACGAGGAAATTCGATAGTAAACTAATCATTAAAGATCTCGTGTTTCTGTAAGTTAAATATTTATAGGTTATGTATATATAAATTAACTAAATACCGAAAGTATTATTACTACACTAAATAATCTCACTTATAAACTAAAGTCAAACTAATCTGTAATAATTTTAAATGGAAAACATTTTTGAAAACGTTAATATTCAATCATGTACATTTTGATTCAATAATAAATTAAGTGATTACTGGAGTAATTACCAATATCACGTTTGTTTAACTCGCAGTACTAATCAAATCCTATCGATTAATTCACAATGTGACTACTAGTGTATCTGACACAGTATCATATACACTATGTTTAAATGTCAAATGACTGCCTTGAACCAATTAGTTTAAGATTGTAGATATACTTTACTGACAAGTGTCAACTAACACAGAAACCTAGGTTTATTAAAGTCTCGTCTCACGTTATAACACATGTGATGTCAAACATAATTATTATTCGTCTCAAACAAAAATAAAACTTTATAACATCAATATAACTTTTGGTTAAGATTTTCAAGGCATTTTTTTTACTAGAACTGTAATTTTCTCAATAACCGTTAACAGTTAGATAGTATTGAATGAATTAAATGCCTCATTTGCATAATGCTAACAATAAATAAAAATGAAATCGGAGATGTGAATAATTGAATTCTAATTTTTTTTAGCCTAAAGGTAATGACGTTAGCCTGAAGTATCCAAAAATTTCAGATACGAACTTATATCGATAAATTTAACGCAATGAGCTTACATAAACGGGTTTAATTGAAAGAGTTTTGTGGATAGTGGTTGAATGGTTCTAGAACTATAACAACTAACTGACTGAAGCTAAAATTGTATCATCCATTGCTGACACAGTAGTTTTTATGGTTAACTGTTCAGAGTGAGACCGAAATGTCTTGGCGCCGATCCTAGTCAGATTCATGGATGGATATAAATGAAGAATCACATACTAGTACGGTAAAACTATCCATTACTCCCTGGTTTTCGATAATATCTTAAATGAAATCTATTTGTAACAAACACAACTTATAGTGTAAGTTGTAATTCTTTTAAACAAATGAGATATTTAGATTACAATCTTAATTCGTAACTTATTACATAACTTACAAACGAAATCAAACAGAAGTGGTTTGACATCTTTCAAGAACGAATTTACAAATCAACAGTATTTTTACGTGATGTATAATGACAATGATCTGCTTAAAAATATTACTTACTTACTTAGGCCTATTACCTTCAATGGAGCATAGGCTACCTACTCTGTCCTGAGCTTCCCTTTCCAGTTATGTCCAATTTTTTCATCCTTCTCATATCTTCCTCCATTTCTCGTCGAATGTGTTCTTTGGCATTCCTCTTTACCTTTGACCTTGAGGGTTCTAAGTAAGGGCTTGTCTTGTGAGGCAGTAGGATGCTTTTCTCAGTGTGTGTCCTATCCACCGCCTCTTCCTGTTTTTCCCCTCCGCTGGAATCTGGGTTGCTCTCTCCCACAGTAAGTTGTTGCTGATCGTGTCTGGCCAACGAATCCGAATTATTTTGCGTAGACGACTGTTAATGAATATTTGTATCTTGTGGATGATGGCTTTGGTAGTTCTCCAAGTTTCCGCCCTATACAGTGGAACTATCTTGAAATTTGTAGGGAAAATCCTGATTTTGGTGTTGGTTGATCGTTGTTTTGAGTTCCAGATGTTGAGCTCAAAAATATAACTAAGAGAAATTAGTATTTTATGAAATATTTTGTGCAACATTATGAAAATCGTAAATAATATTGAAAGTACTAAAAAAACATTTTTTTTGACATTATTTCAATGAAATAAACTAAACATTGTAGTTGTCTTCATACTAGTTTTTAATTACAATTAATCCGACCTTATTTCTAGCTCAATAATCAATAAAATCAGTTTTATTCTCATCCGAACAATTAAGAATGATTGAACATGTATAATATTGAAATAAGAAATGATGAACTATTTTTACTTGACTTAACCAAGATTTGAACATTTATTTAGAAAAAGAAGCAGATATTTGTGCTACACTGATAAGTTAATGTGTCAAGTTATTCGGAATCTTGATCCATTTATTTCGAATACGATAACGGACATATAATAACGCGGTTTTGATAGCTATATATATATATATATATATATACATGAAATTGAAATTCTGAAGAAAACTCAAATACTTCATTTCGCTCTGAAGTTTGTGCTGATGATATTGTTCAAAAGAACTATGAAAGCTCCACAACCAAAACATCCAGCTCAGAGAACGAAACTCCACCACAATTCATGAAATTATATTCGATTTTGTATACAAGAATTAATTTTTTTATGATTCAAAATAGATGAGATTGCATTGTTCATGCGCCAAAGTAATACTCTGATGATAAAGATTAAAAACACTGTATAGCCGATAGATAATATTACACTTATTTGGATAATTCGTAAAAAAATATTAAAATTTCGATACCACCATTCAGTTCATTGTAAGATCTTAGCTAAATGGGTTACTGTGTTTATTTTATCTGGAATACAATAACAGTCATTTCTAAGCTTCCTTATTAAATAATAAGTAAACTGGGCATTAAGAACTTTATACACCTAATATCCTGAAAAATTCTAGTAAGAAACTATGATCTCTAAGCGGTTAGTAAAGTTAGAAGAGAGAATGAAAATGTCAGTCATAACTGTGCATTAATTAATATTTGTAGTCGAGATCGAAAACTAAATAGAATTGCAAAATTTTAAAGTATTCGATTTTAAATGATACCCTATTCAAGTACCAAGTTTAACTATTTGTGCAAAGCTTACAGTCTTGATGAATTCCATGTTAAAAGTGAATTATATCTGTTGTTCTGACTACTGCTTCTTTCTGACTTTTCAAGAAAGAAAATATTACTTCAGATATCTTATCATATAAACTTTCGTCCACAACAGGAACTGATTGTCATCCGACAACCGTCGATAACTAGGAAGCATTGATAAGGAGTCCTGTATTGAGACAAACCGCTATTCAGTGCTTCCTGCCAATTAGTAGTTTCTTAACTACAGTTAGTCCATGATGTAAACTAACGAAAATTCAGTAGTATCCTTAGCTCCTCTATACAAACATATTGTCTTGTTAAAAGACTGTAGAAGAATTAAAAATGCAGGTATTCTGACATATGCATGGAAAAACAGAATATTTTCTATTTGATAATATTTCTTACTTTCAAGATAACTTTAAAATATGGTCTTAAATTTCTTTTATTTACTTATATCTCCTAACAGTTTTATTAAAAGTTCAATTTTATTTTACATACAAAGATGATTAATTTGTTGTTATTTTATGAAAGTCGAATAAGAACATTATTTTAAAAAAATATTAATTAGTGATAAATTGTATTTTTCGATATAAAAGTGATACAAGTCATTGAATGATGATTGATCAATGTCCAATGGTTTCTGTAAAATTACTTTAATAATATTTAGTAAATGCGATAAAATGCCCCACATAGTTTACCAAAATATATTTGACAATGTTCAATGAATATTTCTAGCTAATTTTAATGGGAAATTCTTGATATTACATGTATAGGTGACCTTTTAAAAAACACAATTGATTACTTTCGATAAGTATATGTACATGTTCAAATAGTGTTTTAATAATTGACATGATTATATTATGATTTCATTTAATTAAGAGAAAAAGTGATCAAAATACCTAAATAAATTATGAAACATTATTTCAGTATACATATATATATATATATATATATATATATATATGTATATATATATTTTGAGCAATAGATATTTGAGTTTAATTTTAAAAATTACACCAGTAATCAATGGGATATGTTTATGTCTGATTGATAAATTTTAAATAGGACAAGAACATGCTAGAATGCTTATCATTAACCACTAGAAAAATAACTTTTTTCAATGTCATGAAATAATGAATATTTTGCATAGTAGAATAATGGTTCTGCGGATTTGAGTTATCTGATTCTCAATACTTGTGATCAAATAAAATGAAACCAGCGTCCTGGATTCCATTGCTGACTACGATCCATATGTTCAATAAAGGTTTGTGATAAAATGAATATATCTAAACAATCCGTCCATGCAACAAGAACTGATCATTATTGTCAATAACTGGGATAATTTGAATACTTCCTTATGATAACCAGTGAACCCATTTAAAGGCAAATATCTGTGTGGACACAGTAGCTCAATGGATAAAACATTGAGATTTTGAACATTGTAATTCAATGTCCATTTCCAATAGTTGATTAATTCTGTTTTGATGATTTCACCTATGAATTGCATAGTTTCTTTTTACACAAGTTAAATTAACGAATAGAAACATGCTAGAATGGTATCATGTTTTTAAAACGGACCCTCTTA